TAAAAGCCTCATGATTCATCAACAACCCTGCTAGCTGTGGGCTGCGCTTTATTCTGACAGGGCAGGCTTTCCCCAGAGAAGGGATCTGGGAACACACCCCTCCCTCCCTGCTGAGCGTTATTGCGAGCCAGGCTCCTGTTTACTTCTCAGAGACTGGGGACTAGGATAACCTTAACACCCTTGTAAGCCTGTGACATATTCAGAGGGCCCTGCAGGAGGAGCATGCTCCCATCTTCATAGGGACCAGGTCACCTTGATTGATTCAGAAAATTGCACCTTTTTAAATTTCAAATTTTGTGCATAAAGGGGAAAATGATTTTTTCCTGAAGAAACCTGACTGAAGTGTATGTTAATATATAATTCAGTTCAGTTCAGTCATTCAGTCATGTCCAACTCTTTGCAATCCCATGGACTGCAGCACGCCAGGCTTCCCTATCCATCACCAGTTACTGGAGCTTGCTCAAACTCAGGTCCATCAAGTGGGTGATGCAATCCAACCATCTCATCCTCTGTCGACCCCTTCTGCTCCTGCCTTCAATCTTTCCTAGCATCAGGATCTTTTCCAATGCCTATTTTAGGTCTATACTGTCAAACCTATGGTTTTTCCAGTAGTCATATATGGATGTGAGAGTTGGACCATAAAGAAACCTGAGCACCAATGAACTGATGCTTTTGAACTGTAGTGCTGAAGAAGGCTCTTGAAAGTTCCTAGGACAGCAAAGAGACCAAGCCAGTCAATCCTAAAGGAAATCACTCCTGAATATTCATTGGAAGGAATGAATATTTTTGGCCACCTGATGTAAAGAACTGACTCATTTGAAAAGACCCTGATGCTGGGAAAGATTGAAGGCAAGAGGAGAAGGGGACGACAGAGAAGACAGCTGGATGGCATCACCAACTCAATGGACATGAGTTTGGGCAAACTCTGGGAGATGGTGATGGACAGGGAAGCCTGGCATGCTGCAGTCTTTGGAATCGCAAAGAGTCAGACACAATTGAGCGACTGTACTGAACTGATTTTACATATTCAGGTTATTTTGATAAATGGATACACCTGTGCAACCCCATCCTAATCAAGACATAAAACATATCCACCATCACCCAGAGTTCCCTCATCCTCATCTGCAGTCGATCTGTCTACTTCCACCCAGGTAACCACTGAGGTGCTTTCTCTTACTATAGATTAGTTTGGTTTATTATAGAATTTCACCTAAGTGGAAAGTATATAGTGATTTTGGAGCTGTTTTCTCTGGCTCACTGTAATGTTTTTGAGACTTACTAAGGACTCACCTTTATCATTTATTTATTCTAATGGCTGAGCAGGACTCCTTGTACAGAAAGATCACAATTGTCCTCTACTCACCTGTGGATAGCCGTTTGGGTTGTGTCCAAGTTTTGGTTCTCATGAATGAAACTGCTACAAACAGGAATATACAAGTCATTCCGTGGAAATATGCACTCATTTCTCTCACACACTTAGCTAGAAGAGGATCAAAGTGCTTTTTTAATTTTCAAGAATTCATCAAACATGATGAAGCAGACCATGATCAGGAACTTGGGGGAAATCTGAATATTGCAAGTGACTATAAAAGAAATTATATAAGAGTGTAATACAGTGACAACCCAAATGATGTGGGCTTCTAGGGATGGGTGATATGGCATCGGAGAGTCCTGGAGTCCAGGAATTTAATAATCTCTTGTTTCTCTCCAGTTGTCATGAGCTTGGACAAGCCTCTTGCCTTCTGAAACCACCACAAATGAATATCTGATCCTTCACTGAGCTTTAAGATCATCCCTTGGAAAATTTTGGGTCCTTTGAGAGAACTTCAGCTGTAAAAAGCCAAGTGGTATACACTGTACTTAGAAATATGGACTTAATTCAGGAGGTCAGGCACGTAACACGTATATTGTAGGTACTCTTTGGGGAAGTATGAAAGTGAGAGTGTTAGCGGATCAGTGGTGTCTAACTCCTGGTGATGCCATGCACTCCAGCCTGCCAGGCTCCTCTTGTTCATGGATTTCTCCAGGCAAGACTGGAATGGGTAGCCATTCCCTTCTCCAGGGGAGCTTCCCCACCCAGGGACCAAATCTGGGTCTCCCACATTGCAGGCAGATTCTTTACCATCTGAGCCACCAAAGAAGCCAAAAGCAAAATCTTCTCCCAACCCAGAAATTCTCTTCCCAAAGGTAGTAGAGAACAAAATAGGTTTTGTTATTGAATAAGCATTGAACTGGAAGGTGATGCACTGCACAGACAATCCATCAAGAACTACATAGGCAGAAAGAAATCTCACCCTTTTAGAGAGCCATGCAGATGCAACCCATTACATACAGGTTCTCAGGATAAACCCCACTAGTCCTGAAGTCAGAGGACTTGCCAGCACCACCGGTCTCACACAGCTCATCCTAACTTTACCTGGTAATTGGGGTGACCATCTGTGTTATCTATGTGACTCTATCCAAAGGAAAAACAAATTTCTACTTTATGACAGGAGGATGTTTTGCAACTCACCTATGCTGGGAGACATGAGCCATCCCCCTTGGCATTCATATTTCAAAGAGGCGCCTGATGAAGACATCTATGGGTCATAAAAGGGACAAAATGCCAATATAGTCTTCAAAAGGATTAACATCTTTCTGAAAGGTCACGCTGACCGCAGGTGGGAAAGCGCCAGCCCGAAAATGCTGACAGAGAAGCCCCCGCCGGAACCCCGGATAAGTCCCAGGGACAGACATCCACCAATCAACAGCCCGTTGCCAGGCGGACTGATGGACACGAAGGCGCCAAGACTCGGGCCAATCAAAAACTGACACGAGACTGAAAAGTCCAATCAGCACCCTAGAGCCCGATTCTAACCATATATGGAAAGGTCCCACCACTTCCGCATCCGCCAGGGTATATAAGTGTCGCCTCCCTGACCGCAGGTTGCAGACTCTCGCTTTCCCCCTGCTCGCTCTTGGGAGCTCTGCCCGGGAGTGGTTGCCCAATAAAGCCTCTTAATACTCCAGCGCTCACTTTGTCTTACCGCGGCGTTCTTAAACTTTCAAAGAAGAGAGAGATCTGACAATGACAGGTTTTCTGAAGGCAGTGGTCAAAGTAAAAGGAAGAGAAGGAAATCTCTTACATTATTTTTAACAGGGAGGATGGAACCTCTTGCTTTTATTTGCATTTGTCCTCACAGTACCCAGTGAATATTCGTTTCTTTTTTTTTTTTTTTAATTTTTTCCATTTATTTTTATTAGTTGGAAGCTAATTACTTTACATCATTGGAGTAGTTTTTGTCATACATTGAAATGAATTAGCCATGGATTTACATGTATTCCCCATCCCGGTCCCCCCTCCCACCTCCCTCTCCACCCGATCCCTCTGGGTCTTCCCAGTGCCCCAGGCCCAAGCACTTGTCTCATGCACCCAACCTGGGCTGGTGATCTGTTTCACCCTAGATAATATACATGTTTTGATGCTGTTCTCTTGAAACATCCCACCCTCGCCTTCTCCCAGAGTCCACAAGTCTGTTCTATACATCTGAGTCTCTTTTTCTGTTTTGCATATAGGGTTATCGTTGCCATCTTTCTAAATTCCATATATATGTGTTAGTATACTGTAATGGTCTTTATCTTTCTGGCTTACTTCGCTCTGTATAATGGGCTCCAGTTTCATCCATCTCATTAGAACTGATTCAAATGAATTCTTTTTAATGGCTGCGTAATATTCCATGGTGTATATGTACCACAGCTTCCTCATCCATTTGTCTGCTGATGGGCATCTAGGTTGCTTCCATGTCCTGGCTATTATAAACAGTGCTGCGATGAACATTGGGGTGCACGTGTCTCTTTCAGATCTGGTTTCCTTGGTGTGTATGCCCAGAAGTGGGATTGCTGGGTCATATGGCAGTTCTATTTCCAGCTTTTTAAGAAATCTCCACACTGTTTTCTTAATGGCTATATTCGTTTCTTATAATCATGCATCTCCCAGTTCAGAGCCTCAGAGTCTGGGGTGAGTGAGGGGAGGGATGAACCCACGGCTCCCACCTCTGCACCCAACTCCTGCGATGGCCTCCATACTGAGTGTTCGCTTTGGTTCCCATCTTTTCCATCTCCAGTTCATTTTTATTCTTGAGGTCAGTCTCTTCTAAGAAACCATCCTCCTTTTTCCTCCTGCTTGCTAGCTCAAGGGTCTCTGCCAACCTTCCAAAGCCCCAGAAAAATCCCTGATTGGCCCCTTGCCTCCAGAGGCCCCGGGGTCTACAGTGCAGACCAGGACACTGAGACTGGTCACCGTTTTGGGGTCCACGAGGCCATCTCTGTTCTGTTCATAGAGAAACTCACAAGCTGCAAACCTGGCCATGACCTGTGTCCTCTTTCTCGAGCCAATCCCCCTGTTGTTCTGTCTGAAAGACATCTGTAAGCTGCCCCATCCAATTATGGCAGTTTCTTTCTCTCTAAAATACTACCAATTTCTAACCGAAATTGGGTGGCCTCCCTTTCTAATTAACTTAAGTGCCCTCGTCTCTGATGGTAACAGCTATAATTACACCTCACTTCACTCTGAAAAGTCTGTTTAAAACTGGGGAACTACAAGGTGACCTTTTCATCACCCCTTGTTTATCTGGGCTTGGGACTAGGGGGAGGAGACGGAAGGACGTTGCACTCATGAGCTCTCCCCCTCGTCTCAGAGAGCTGCATCATGACGTACGTGTGGTGCTGCCCGCATTTCGGGCCCGCAGAGAGTAGCTGACTCAGTGGGTGCAGGACCAGAGAGTTTGTGTTCGGTGGCAGGAGGAGCAGGAGGAGGAAGACGGTTGATACTGTCATTATTTAAAATCACTTCCACCCACTGTGCTGAGTCACTAGAACGTCACTGCCTGGGATTTTGCATCAGTCTCAAAAATATACCTTTGCAGAGTTTTCCAAGCTCAGAAGCACACCCGTTGCCTCACTCAGGCCCCTTAAAAGGAAGCTGCATGGATCCTGCGCACGGCTACTCTCTGTCAAGGGCCTCAGCTCTCCCCCTGCATCTTCCTGACAACAGTGATGCTGCACGTGTGTGCAGCACATTTACACACCAACCTGAGCTCAGAGGGAGGTGGCGCCATCTCCCCCCAGCCCACTTCCACACTCAAGACAATGAAGATTTCAGGAGCCAGAGAGCAGCATGGGCTGAAATCCAGGTTTCCTGCCTCCTGGTCTAACCCTGAACCAATAAGAGAGGAAAAGGAGCTTTGGGTCTGAAAACATGGACCACCCTCCTCCCCACATACGCCTGCAGTGGCCAAGTGAACAGAGACAAAACTCCACTCCGGCTGAAATGACTTGAACACTTGACATCTGGTTTCAGATTTCAAAGCAAATAAGACCATTTCCTGTTTTTCTTTCTACCCCAGACTATGAATATTCTCTCCCTGTCTCTCCAAGTCCAGAACAAGCCTATAAAGGCTTGACTGGTTTCCAGGATACTTGTGACTATTCACAAGGAAAAGAAGGATTTCCCAGCAGTAAGTTCTAGAGTTCTCAGAGAGCAAACCTGGGGAGGAGCCCTGTGTGACTTTGGGCTGCTGACTGTGACTCTTTCTATGGTTACTTACACTTATGATTATCCCCTTCCCTGGTAACTCAGGCGGTAAAGAATCTACCTGCAACGGAGGAGACTCAGGTTTGATCCGTGGGTTGGGAAGATCCCCTGGCTAAGGGAATGACTATCCACTCCAGTATTCTTTATTTATTTTTTTTTTGACTGACACTTTTTTATTAATTTATTTTTTAATTGAAGGATAATTGCTTTACAGAATTTTGTTGTTTTCTGTCAAATCTCAACATGAATCAGCCATAGGTATACATATATCCCCTCCCTTTTGAACCTCCCTCCCATCTCCCTCCCATCCCACCCCTCTGGGTTGATCCAGAGCCCCTGTTTGAATTTCCTGAGACATACAGCAAATTCCCATTGGCTATCTATTTTACATATGGTTATGTAAGTTTCCATGTTACTCTTTCCATACATCTCACCCTCTCTTCCCCTCTTCCCGCGTCCATAAGTCTATTCTCCATGTCTCTTTCTCCAGTGCTGCCCTGTAGGTAAATTCTTCAGTACCATTTTTTAGATTCTGTATGTGTGCATTAGAAGATGATATTTATCTTTCTCTTTCTGACCTACTTCATTCTGTATAATAGGTTCTAGATTCATCCACCGCATTAGGACTGAAAGGCATTTCTTTTTATGGCTGAGTAATATTCCATTGTGTATATGTACCACAACTTCTTTATCCATTCATCTGTCGATGGACATCCAGGTGGCTTCCACATTCTAGCTATTGTAAATAGTGTTGCAGTGAACAATGGGATACATGTGTCTTTTTCAATTTTGGTTTCCTCAGGGTATATGCCTAGGAGTGGGATTGCTGGGTCAAATGGTGGTTTTATTCTTAGTTTTTTAAGGAATCTCCATACTGTCTTCCGTAGTGGCTGTGTCAATTTACATTCCCACCAACAGTGCAAGAACTTTCCCTTTTCTCCACATCCTCTCCAGCATTTATTTTTTGTAGACATTTTGATGATGGCCATTCTGATTGGTGAATATCTCATTGTAGTTTTGATTTGCATTTCTCTGACCAACCTAGATAGCATATTAAAAAGCAGAGACATTACTTTGCCAACAAAGGTCCGTCTGGTCAAGGCTATGGTTTTTCCAGTTGTCATGTATGGATGTGAGAGTTGGACTGTGAAGAAAGCTGAGCGCCAAAAAATTGATGCTTTTGAACTGTGGTGTTGGAGAAGACTCTTGAGAGTCCCTTGGACTGCAGAGATCCAACCAGTCCATCCTATAAGAGATCAGTCCTGGGTGTTCATTGGAAGGACTGATACTGAAGCTAAAACTCCAATACTTTGGCCACCTCATGGGAAGAGTTGACTCATTGGAAAAGACCCTGATGCTGGGAGGGATTGGGGGCAGGAGGAGAAGGGGGCGACAGAGGATGAGATGGCTGGATGGCATCACCGACTTGATGGACATGAGTTTTAGTAAACTCTGGGAGCTGGTGATGGACAGGGATGCCTGGGGTGCTGTGATTCATGGGGTCGCAAAGAGTCGGACAAGACTGAGCAACTGAACTGAACTGAACTGAATAATGAGCAATGCTGAGCATCATTTCATGTGTATGTTAGCCATCTGTATGTCTTCTTTGGAGAAATGTCTGTTTAGGTCTTTTCCCCACTTTTTGATTGGGTTGTTGGTTTTTTTGGTATTGAGCTATATGAGCTGCTTGTATATTTTGGAAATTAATCCTTTGTCAGTTGTTTCATTTGCTATTATTTTCTCCCATTCTGAAGGTTGTCTTTTCACCTTGCTTATGATATTTGCTGTGCAAAAGTTTTTAAGTTAAAAGCTTTTAAGTTTAATCAGGTCCCACTTGTTTTTATTTCTGTTAGTCTAGGAGGTGGGTCACAGAGGATCTTGCTTTGATTTGTGTCATCGAGTGTTCTGCCTGTTTTCCTCTAAGAGTTTTATAGTTTCTGGTCTTACATTTAGGTCTTTAATCCATTTTGAGTTTATCTTTGTGTATGGTGTTAGGAAGTGTTCTAATTTCATTCATTTACATGTAGCTGTCCAGTTTTCCCAGCACCATTTATTGAAGAGGCTGTCTTTGCCCCATTGTATACTCTTGCCTCCTTTGTCAAAAATAAGGTACCCATAGGTGCATGGGTTTATTTCTGGGCTTTCCATCTTGTTCCATTGGTCTATATTTCTGTTTTTGTGCCAGTACCATACTGTCTTGATGACTGTAGCTTTGTAGTATAGTCTGAACTCAGGAAGCTTGATTCCTCCAGCTCCATTCTTCTTTCTGAAGACTGCTTTGGCTATTCGAGGTCTTTTGTGTTTCTATATGAATTATGAAATTTTTTGTTCTAGTTCTGTGAAAAATGCTATTGGTAATTTGATAGGGATCACATTGAATCTGTAAATTGTGTTTTGTAGTATAGTCATTTTCACAATATTGATTCTTCCTGCCCAGGAACATGGAATATCTCTCCATTTGTTTATATTGTCTTTGATTTCTTTCATCAGTGTCTTATAATTTTCTGTGTACAGTTCTTTTGTCTCCTTAGGTAAGTTTAGTCCTAGATATTTTATTCTTTTTGTTGCAATGGTGAATGGGATTGATTTCTTAATTTCTCTTTCTGATTTTTCATTCTTAGTATATAGAAATGCACGTGATTTCTGTGTACTGATTTTGAATCCTGCAACCTTGATAAATTCACTGATTAGCTCTAGTAATTTTCTGATACTATCTTTAGGGTTTTCTGTGTACAGTATCATGCCATCTGCAAACAATGAGAGCTTTACTTCTTCTTTTCTTATTTGGATTCCTTTTATTTCTTTTTCTTCTCTGATTACTGTAGCTAGGATTTTCAGAACTATGTTGAATAATAGTGGTCAAAGTGGACACATTTGTGTTGTTCCTGATCTTAGGGGGAATGCTTTCACCATTGAGAATAATGTTTACCATAGGTTTATCATATATGGCCTTTACTGGGTTGAGGTGTGTTCCTTCTATACCCATTTTTTGAAGAGTTATCATCATAAATGGTGCTGAATTTTGTCAAAGGCTTTCTCTGCATCTATTGAGATTATTATATAGTTTTTATCTTTCAATTTGTTAATATGGTGTGTCACATTGATTGATTTGTGTATATTGAAGAATCCTTGCATTCCTGGAATAAACCCAACTTGATCATGGCGTATGAACTTTTTGATGTGTTGCTGAATTCTGTTTGCTTAAATTTTGTTCAGGATTTTTGTATCTATGTTCATCAGTGATATTGGCCTGTAGTTTTCTTTTTTTGTGTTGTCTTTGTCTGGTTTTGGTATCAGGGTGATGGTGGCCTCATAGAATGAGTCTGGAAGTATTCCTTCCTCTGCAATTTTTTGAAAGAGTTTTAGAAGGATGGGCATTAGCTCTTCTCTAAATGTTTGATAGAATTCTCCTGTGAAGCCACCTGGCCCTAGGTTTTTGTTTTTGGGGGAGATTTTTGATCACAGCTTTAATTTCAATGCTTGTAACTGGGTTGTTCATAATTTCTATTTCTTCCTGGTTCAGTCTTGGAAGATTGAACTTTTCTAAGAATCTGTCCATTTCTTCCAGGTTATCCATTTCATTGCCATATAGTTGTTCATAATAGTCTCTTTTTTTTTTTCATTTATTTTTATTAGTTGGAGGCTAATTACTTCACAACATTGCAGTGGGTTTTGTCATACATTGACATGGATCAGCCATGGAGTTACATGTATTCCCCATCCCGATCTCCCCTCCCACCTACCTCTCCACCCGATTCCTCTGGGTCTTCCCAGTGCACCAGGCCCGAGCACTTGTCTCATGCATCCCACCTGGGCTGGTGATCTGTTTCACTATAGATAATATACATGCTGTTCTCTCGAAACATCCCACCCTCGCCTTCTCCCACAGAGTCCAAAAGTCTGTTCTGTACATCTGTGTCTCTTTTTCTGTTTTGCATATAGGGTTATCATTACCATCTTTCTAAATTCCATATATATGTGTTAGTATGCTGTAACATAATAGTCTCTTATAATCTTCTGTATTTCTGCATTGTCTGTTGTAATCTCTCCTTTTTAATTTCTAATTTTGTTGTTTTGATTTTTCTGTCTTTTTTTCTTGATGAGTCTGGCTAAAAGTTTGTCAATTTTGTTTATCTTCTCCAAGAACCAGCTTTTAGTTTTATTAATCTTTACTATTGTTTCTTTCATCTCTTTTTCATTTATTTCTGCTCAGATCTTAATGATTTCTTTCCTTCTATTAATTTTTTTCATCGTTCTTCTTTTTCCAGTTGTTTTAGGTATAAAGTTAGGTTGTCTATTTGATGTTTTTCTTGTTTCTTGAGGTAGGATTGTATTGCTATAAACTTCCCTCTTAGAACTGCTTTTGCTGCATACCATAGGCTTTGAGTTGTATTTTGTCATTTGTTTCTAGAAGTTTTTTTATTCCCTTTTGATTTCTTCAGTAACCTGTTGGTTATTTAGAAATGTGTTGTTTAATCTCCATGTGTTTGTGTTTCTTACAGTTTTTACTTGTAACTGATATCTAGTCTCATAGCATTGTGGTCAGAGAAGATGCTTGATATAATTTCAATTTTCTTAAATTTACTGAGGTTTGATTTGTGACCCAAGATGTGGTCTATCATGGAGAATGTTCCATGTGCACTTGAGAAGATGGTGTATTCTTCTGCATTTGGATGGAATGTCTTGAAAATATCAATGAGATCCATCTCATCTAATGTATCATCTAAGACTTGTGTTTCCTTATTAATTTTCTGTTTTGATGATCTGTCCATTGGTGTGAATGGGGTG